CACACACACACACACACACACACACACACACACACACACACACACACACACACACACACACACATGAATACACACACAGAGTCAGGTAAGTTTTCTTTTGTCGATTTTTTTTCTTTTTTGTTGTTTATTTTCCGTTTCTGTATTTCTGCAAACCCGTTCAAGTGGAGAACGCGCTTTCAAAGAGTTCAATTTCAGAATGCAAAACTCGTGTTCAATGAACGCGCGGTTTTACAGGTGCAGCGAGGCCCATAGACCGCCTTCTTTTTGCAAGGGAAGCCGGGCCAGTTTCCTGGCTTTTAGAATGAATGATTTTATTGTATTAAAAGAAAAAAAAAAAACTCTGCCAAATTTGACATAAAAAATAAGATAAAAAAATGACTTGTTTACTAGGCAGATATCCCGGGCGCCTGGGTTGCGATGTCACGCCCGGTTTTGCAACCGGGTGACCGGCCGGGCATGGGTCCGGGCAGCCCCAGCACAAACAAAAAAAAAAAAAAAAAAAAAACTGAACAAAGAATATGTTGTATAGAATTGCAATACAAATAATTTTTTTAACTCGTCAAATTCCATCATCTAGGTTTGAACACGGGTCTGTATTTCCACAACTCAATGGTGTACCCACTGCGCTCTTGGGTCACATCAGAATTCCTCACAGAACTGAAGATAAAAAAGAAAATAGCCAAATCACACTAAGGCACCCCCCTTTAAATCCCTTTAGCCCCTTCGAAATTCATTTATACTCCCCTTCCCACCCCTTGACAGCCAACTCTCAAAAACAGAAAAGAGCCCGGATTTGGGCTCCTCGGCGAGCGCAGAAAAACCCCACCGCCATTTTCTTTTTTCTATAATTGTTTTCCCCATGCCCGGGTATCCCGGGCATAAGGATCCCCCGGGCGTCACGTCCGTCATGAAAAGCTCCCTAGCTTCTTTTTTTGTTTTTTTACCCTGACTAGGCAACTTGCCCAGGGCCACTCCGGTAGCCTAGCTAGGCTCAACTTTATTGCCAAAGGGACAACCTCTGGCTTTCTTGCAACGCGTTTAGGGCAATGTCTGGTCTCTGATGCTCTTGCTCTTCAGATGGTAGCAGCCTGTGGTACATATCTTCTTCTTCTTCTTCTTCTTCTTCTTCTTCTTCTTCTTCTCTTTTTCTCTATTTTGGGTGGTACATAGCTTTGGCTTCAGAATCTGCTGTTTAGCAGTACTTTTTTTTCCCTTTTTTATTTTTTATTTTATTTTTTTTAACACACTCAAACATGCCCCATCTATTCTTTGGGGCTGGGGTCCGTCCGGATGCTTATCACCCGTGCAAGCAGATGAACGCGTTCTGACCCCTCCTGTGTCCCTCCCCTGACATCTTGAGAGAAGACAGGAGGAACCGAGCGACTCCCAATGGTACCCGGTCGTTGCCCAACTCTTCTGCCGGGATGCAGTGGCACACTCACTCTACTAGTTGATTGAGCTGTTCATAAGCAGACCTGACGCTGGTCATTGATTCGAGGTGGAATTTAAATTTGGGGAATCCTAATGCATGTGGATCAGATCATGATTCAGATGCGTAAAATTACTCTGTATTACCTCGGGTTGGTCAGTCCGATGAGGATGAGGATGCCTCAAGACAGTCTCGGAGTCCCGTCCTTTTTTTCCCAAGAAAAGCTTCTGGAATTTTTGTTGTTTTTTTTTTTGTTTTGTTTTTACCAAATTACCACTACTCAGCTAACTTACTGCTTCCTGATTAAAAAAAAAAAAAAAAAAATTCCCGTTTATGGCATTTTGCAAGGAATATGAGAGAGAGCGATAGACAGAAATCCAAATAATTGCAAATCACGCACGAAGTAGTCCAGATAGTCATGTACCAAGCAGAGAGCACAACGAACCAAGATACCATCCAAATATGAGCAATAGTACAATGAACTCGAGTGCCAATGCCGACGCTCTCTGTTCACAGCAACACTGTATCCAATGTCGCTTCTACTGTCTGGGGCCCAGCATCCAGCGTACACTACACAGCCTATCTATCCTATCTACGTTCATGTGACTGGATCACATCGAAGTTGAAGACCAACGTACGTGATGTCATCACCAATGCCGACAGCCAGCGTACACCAGGTGCGTTCTCTCTCCTTCCCTCATCCCACCTTGACTCCCCTCTGCATGCGCCTCCTACCCGAAGACCACCATCGCCGTCACCTGCACCCACACTCTCGGCCCGGCTATGCCCTCTCACCTCTCACGCCCCTGTGCGCCCTGGCCTGGGCGCATAGTGCAGCTTCGCATTGGTGTTGCCGCAGCGTGGCCGCATTGCCTGCTCAGGCCAGAATGTCTGAGCCTGGGCAAGGCACTTTCCTTTATGGAAAGTGCGGCCCCTGTGTTCGGCTGTGTGGGCCTGGCTGGACGAGTTTCCAGTAGCTTCCAGTCGTGCCCCAGTGTCTGCGCCCAGGCCCACCTCTCATGTTGTTACAGGCCTGGGCCCCCTACTACAGTTGGCCACGTCGAGGCAGTGGTCCTGGCTACAAGTGTTTGCCACATCCTCATTGGCTCGTGGAGGTAATGTGACGACAATGCTGCTTTCTCATTGGTCCGCGGCCTCTGCGTGATGTGTCGGCCTCCCAGTGTGTGTGCGCAGGGCGCAACCAACCGGGGCCCTGGGCTCAACTGTACAGCGCAGCTGTTGCTTTTGGAAAGAACCACGAGAGGCTCACGTTGCTTTGTAACCAGCTGGCGAGCTGCAACTGTCTCATACCCCGCATATGGAAAATGTCGTGAAAAGGCCTCACGTGGATATTCAGGCCCGCCTTCAGTTAGGGGGGGCACGCGGCTTGCTGGGCGCCACAGGCCAGAACACTTGTTTGTCTGATAAGGGCCCGACGAGGGCTCATTCCACGCAATTTAATGGCTTTGAATTTTGAAATTTAGTCTGGTAAAGGAGGGGGAGGGGGAGCGTGGAGGTTTGCTCCCATGTTGCGGAGTCCAACCACTGAAAGAGAGAGGATGGGAAGGCAGGTATGACTGAGCGAGGAGGAGGGGGAGGAGGAGGGGGAGAGGAGTGATGGAGGAGAGATGGAGGAGAGGAGAAAGGAGGAGGAGGTCCGGAGGACGGATGCAGGAGAGGAGACACGAGGAGGACAGATGGAGACGGAGGGCTGCATGCAATTGTCTTTCCACACAAAAAAAAATAAAAAAGAAAGCATTGCAATTTGTGGTAGGAGGCCGTAAGAGGGAGGAGGCCGTAAGAGGGAGGAGGCCGAGGAGTGGAGATGCAGGAGAGGAGAAAGGAGGACAGATGACGACAAGGCGAGGAGTGGAGATGCAGGAGAGGAGAAAGGAGGACAGATGACGACAAGGCGGCGGAGGAGGAGGGATGGAGAAGATATTATAAAGAAGTTTTGAAAACCTATGACTTACCTCTGTAGAGTCTGTACTATCATACCCACTACTTTTCCTCCGGGGTCCCCTCTTTTGACCTCAGCCTCAAATCCTCAGCATCATATTATTCCTTCAACTGCTTACATTCCGATCCCGACACCGGCATTTCACATGTTTCAAATTTCAATCTTATTTTCTGAACCCCTTCTTTTTTCAAAAGAGGGTGCTTTTCTTTAAAAACCTGCATTGACTAACGTGTGCATGTGTGTTGTCATATTAGCTATACACTCAAAAAAAGCATGACTGTGCCAGAGAGACTGTTTTGTCCGACTTTCACTGACTCATCATGTCTGTGTGTGTTGTGTGTGTGTGTGTGTGTGTGTGTGTGTGTGTGTGTGTGTGTGTGTGTGTGTGTGTGCATGTGTTTGTGTGTGTGGGGGGGGGGGGGGGGGGGGGAGGCGGGGGAGCTGCATGGGTGTACATGGGTGTTTCGGGGTATTTGTTCCCTATGTGGATGGATGTTTCCTCCTATGTGGATGGATGTTTCTTCCTTTTATGTGGATGGATGTTTGTTCCTTGTATGTGGATGGATGTTTTGTGTGTTTCATGATCACTATTAGCTCACTGCTTTGTCGAGGAGTCTCGGGGCAACGCGAACCTAGCTGACCTAGCGTTATTGTCGCCAAACGCTTCATCATACATTGTTCGGCTTGGATCCACTTCAGTGAAGGAAGGGCTAGATGTCCGCGTTAAGAACTACTGGTTGCATCCAGAGTTCAGAGTCGTGACGAGTTTGCTGTTCAACGACGTGTCACTTTTTCGCCTTGAGAGACCCGTGCCTATCAATGACACCATCATGCCAGTAAAGCTCGCCTTCAGCGACGACGTGCTCGTCACCGGGTCGGACATTGGTATCACTGGATGGGGTGATACTACATTTGAGGGCGACGCGAGCACCGTTCTGTTGGGAGCGACAGTGGACCTTCTTCCCGATGTTTGTCCCAACAGCGCTATCTATAAGGCTGCGTACGACCCGAAAGTGATGCTGTGTGCTGGCTGCAGAGAGGGGGGCGTCGACGGGTGTCAGGGTGATAGTGGGGGACCTGCAACAACCTCTTCGAACTCGACGGGATGTCCTGTCCTCGTTGGCATTACGAGCTTTGGTGGCGTTTGTGGTAGCCCTGAGTCTCCAGGGGTTTACACACGCGTGGCCACCTTAGTGGACTGGGTGGAGAAGCAAGCGGGGAGGTCGTTTCGCAGCCAGTACCCAGTCGTGCCCACTAAGGACTGCCAGCTATGTGGGCGGAGTAACGACTCAAACGTGCAATCGCTGCCATGTGGTGACCTGCCGGTGCCTTCATTCGACAAGACAAGGTGTAAGCTTGAGGCCTGGATGTCCTCTGCATTCAAGTTCCGGTTCTTGCACCCTTGCTCGGAAAACGCAACCAGTTGCACTGCAAACGGCACTGGCGCCGCTCCTTGTGGGGCGCAAGTTGAGGCCTTTTTCGATCCTGGCTCCTTTGGGTCTTTCACTCCTACTGGCAGTCTAACCTTTCTACAGGGAAGGCCAGGGGGTTCAACCAAGATCACGCTTCGGCGGATGGCGATAACTGTTCCGCTGTCGGGAAAGATAAGACGTCGACGTGCCGTGGCCTCCAAAGATGGCCATTGGAGAACCGTATGGGCACCGGGAGTGCAAAGACCGGAGAGGGTTTGCAGTGATTACTATGCATATGCGGCAGTGTTCATTACCAAGGACGCGAGCCTCGTGCAGGTGTCGTACCCGGTCTCTTACTCAAACTCACGCAGGTAGCAGCATTGTGGCCCACGTGGGCCGAGAAGAAGGCCGACAGGTAGAAGCAGGCGTGATCGTCTTCTTAGCCAGCTCTATTGCTGACTAGGTTCTCTGAGGTTCTCTGAATTATTTGCATAAAGCGTAGCAAACATCGCATTAAAGCGAGAGAGACAACATAATTATGATTCTTATACAAGGAGTCTTTAACATAATGTGCTGCAGCTGTGCACGTGTGGGGATTGTTGATGCATGCACACAAGCACAGTTCGGTGAAGTCAGGGGCGGCAGATATAGTTAATTAGTAATTACAATGGGAATTTCAGAACCAAGGCCTGAATAATATCAGTCGTAGAAAGGTTGAGGGAAAAAAAAAAAAAAACAGCATCGATCACTCGGGAGACCTCCGTATTTACCCTGATTCCTGAACAAATTTTGTTCGCATATGTGCGCTCTCTGGCGGAAATGCCAGGCTTTGCAGTTTTTCTTCGGCAATTTTTATTTATTTATTTTATTTGGTTCGTTTCACACAACCGCAGAGTTTTCTCTTGTTAAACAACATGCCCCTGACCGGCTTGTACGTATGTCTGGCTGTCACCTTACTTTTCCCGTGGTTCCCTCTGCCCCACACGCTCCTCTCGTCTCATTTGCGGCTTTGCCCTCCTCTGCTTCAGCACTCACCACCTACTTGATCCACACACCTGAATCTCCCTTCACTAGGTAGTAGTAGACACACTTTCTTGCAGCTCCTCAAACTCCTCCTTTTCCTTCTCCTGATGCGATTCTTCGTCTTTTTCTTCCTTCCCCCGCAAATCCCCCCCCTGCGCCCCCCCTTTAAACTCCCTTCTGCCCCCATTTACTGTCGGGGGCACCCTCCTACGTTCAGCACCCACTAGTGCGCACCCATATCCCCTTCTTTCAATCTCTCTGAAGAGCCCATCAATCAGGCTGCTGGACAATCAATCAATCAATCAATCAATCAATCAATCAATCAGTCAGTCAATCAATTAATCAATCAATCGATCAACCAGTCGTTCTGGGAGTGTTAAAGGCTTAAAGCTAAATAAAAATTTAATAAATAGTAAATAGTAAATACTAAATACTCAGTTGCGTGCAGAGAAGGACGCCCTCTGGGCCTCTGATAAATTTTGGGGAAAAGAAAAAGAAACCAGAGAGAGGCATCTCTGAGAAGTTGGAATAAATTCATTAATTAATAAAAGAAGTTCAAAAAAATCTATTTGAATATTTGTAAATCATTAAATGTGCCCAGATCCATTTGTTACTGCGGGGGCCAAGTTCCACTAGCAGCGTTGAGCTACCTCAACGCCTGTATCTGGACGCTTTTGTGGAGATGTGCAGAAATGCTGTTGAGTTTCCTGAACTGCGTCTCCACAAACACGTCCAGATTCAGGCGTTGAGGTAGCTCAAACTGCTAGTGGGACTTGGCCCCGGGAGAGAGCTCTATCCGATCCTTGCATGCCAGACAGTGCTTTTCTTGTCTCATTTTAAGGAATTTAATGCCATTTATTAATTCCATAATTTCAATTCGCGAAACAGGGAAGGGTGGGGAAATCATGATCATCTCCTTAAGATTCTTTTTTTTGGGAGAGTAAAGAGGCCGTCGTTTTTTTTTTTTTTTTGGGGGGGGGGGGGGGGGGGGGGAAGAGGCCATAATTGCTATCTGTTCACTGACAGGTGGATTTTCTAACCTCAGAATAAGCTTCAATCAGGTTATACATAGATTTATAATAATTATAATTATTTTATATTAATTTATAATATTTAAGTGCAAATATGCGTGATTTGCCACAAAATATGACACTTCATTTGGGGCTTGTCAGGCTTCATTCGGAATAACTTCTACATAGTTCTTTTCTTTTTTTTTTTTTTTTTTTTTTTTTTTTTTTTTTTTTTTTTCGAAAATCTTCTTTGGTAATTTTGATTGTTTTTGTTTGAATACGGAAGTTAGAGTTTTAGAGTTTTGTCATTAAACCACCAGTACCTCGCCCAGCTATCAAGTCTGAGGCTCACACAACCAGTAGCCCCCGATCATTTCCCAGCCTCGGACTTTATTGCGGAGCCTTGATGTATGGGTAGTGCACATTTGGGGGAAAACAACAGAAATTTAAAACAAAAACAAAAAAACAAACAACATTCTGCAAGAAAAAAAAGAGGAAAAAAAGAAGGAAGTCAGACATGCCCAGTGAGACTGAATCTCCCACGACAACGTGAAAGATTCATTCTCATCGGAATGATGAGAGAGAGAGAGAGAGAGAGAGAGAGAGAGAGAGAGAGAGAGAGAGAGAGAGAGAGAGAGAGAGAGAGAGAGAGAGAGAGAGTGGGCGGTGCCACACCACTCTCGAAACGCAAAAAATAGTGCGGGATTTTTTGGGTGCATTTGCCCATGTTCTAGCGGGAAGTTCATTTTCATTTTGCACATTTCAGGAGTGATCCGGGGCCATGCCCAGTGTCTGGCTCTGAGTTTGGTGCGCCAAACTGGGCGTCAGACTCTCTGATGTCTCTCTCTCTCTCTCTCCCTCTCTCTCTCCCTCTCTCTCTCTCTCTCTCTCTCTCTCTCTCTCGTTCTTCCCCCCTCTTCCCCCCTCTCCCCCCCCTCTCCCCCACTGCTGCGCCGGTAGCCCAATCTGCTCGTTACTATTCATTTTCTTTTACGTATTTTTGTTTTTTTTTCCATTTTTCTTGGGGATACCGGTCGTTCGGCGCTAGCCTCTAGGTACCCCGCCCGACACGGCGTGTTAATGACCGCGTCAGAGTTTTTAAGCTGGGCGAGGTACTGGTGGTTTAACCGTCCGCTACATTTTGTCAGATAATTAATTCATCATGTGGGCTACCAGCCGGGCCTCCCGGGTCGCCTTGTTTGCCCTGGTGGACTCAGCCGTGCAAGGACCAAGCTCAGCAAGCTGTGTAGCACCACAAACATGTTTTTTGGATGCTCGCACATACGTGGGCCGCTCTTGTTTCGTCGTAGCATGGTATCCAGCCTGCCACATACTTCCCATGTCATATGGCTGTGTCATCCGCATTCATCTGCTCATCTGCTCATACTGTAATTCCCTTGCTCACCTGAAAAGCGTAGTAAGTTTTTTTTCTTTTTAAGAAAGTCACCTGCCTGTGTTAGTGGTGCTGATAAGAGCAGACACCACTAGCACCTGGGGAGAGGCTCCATCTATTGGTGGGGAGCAACACCTGCTGGAAAACGGGTCCAGCGTCCCTTAACAAAATGAACTTGAGCCCTGTCCGCCCGTGCGGCCACAATTTTTTCATCATAACCCGTCGCCGGTCTACTCGGTAAGCCTCCTGTGCCTCTGCTCATCCACGTCAGCGTCGTCAGGGTGTTACAGATTCCTTGCTTCTGTCTTTTGCGTTCGATGCCCGCCCACGTTTCTTGCCATCTAGCAGGTTCACGCCAGTTCATGCGCCTCTTCCAAAAAGTCCAAAACCACGAAAACCGAAAACCGAAAACCGAAAAACAAAAAACAAAAAACGAAAAACGAAAAACGAAAAACGAAAAGAGAAAAACGAGAACACGAACAGGCCCCCCAAAAAACAAGAAATTCAAAACAAACGGGAACAGAGGACTCCTTTGTGCGCCGAGGGGGTTACCCTGCCATGTCAGGCAGGTACCCCTCAACCTATTATCTTTATTGAAAGGGAAAAATTTCGAAATGCCCCGGAAGTTTGCATTGATTTGCCGCGTGTTTGCATTGATTTGCCGCGTGCCGCTGTGAAGGCCGACTTACCCTGTGGTGCCTCTCAGGCCTCTGAAATTTTCCGCAGGCCCCTGTCAGCGTGGGGCGTAACTTTCCCATATGCCCTTACTGGACCGCTGGTGGCGTTTCGTCGGTCTGTCCTTGAAATGCCCTCACGAGGGGCACACATCTTTCTGTGATGCCCTTGCCGCAGTGGCGGCAGGAATTCAAATTCAAAGTGGTAGGCATTCCACGCGCCACCACAAAAGATGCAGCAGCGCGTCTTCGAGTCCGCCGCATCGGTGATTGATGTGTTGGAGTGCATACAACTACCGTGCGAAGTGAAGTGTGCACTCCCGTGTGTGTGTGTCCATGCTCATTTCCCTCCTCCCTCCTCCATCCATGTGCATCGCCCTCCTCCCTCCTCCTTCTCCGTCCTCGTCGCTCTCCTCTCTTCTCGTCCAGCCTCCATCCTCTATCCTCGTCCGAGTCCTTGTCCTCCCTACTCCTCTTCCCCTCCTTTTCCCTCGTTCCTTTCTCCTCCAACTTTCTCCTTGTCACCCCTCCCTCTCCTCCTCCTGGATTGTCGACCTCCTAACCATCACCATGGCCATCTTCTTGGTGTCATCGCCTATGCACGTGCGAGTGTCTGCATATGTGTGTGTGTGTCTATGTGTGTGAGCACATATTGAGGGCTCCTCAGTACATAACGCATATGTACTCCAAATCGTTGTCACATCACAGGATAACCTCCAGAAGGACCCCATCACATTGTTCATCCTATACAATAGACTTCAAGAGGAAACACACATCTGAGTGAGTCAAGTCAATAGACAATCCTTAACGTAGCACTGCAAGTCAACTAGGCATACGGAAGACAGAAAAAACATACAATCCCAAGCCTGAAAGATCGAGAGCATACAAGACACAACCAGCAAAGCATAGAATGACAAGCCACAACAAGGGAAACAGGATGGAGGGCACGGGGGAGGTGGGTGGGCAAACAAAAGACACAAGGCAAACAACACAAACAACAAAGTACACTGGGTGAAAGGCACGGGGTGGGTGAATGGGCAAGCAAACAGCATAAAGCAGCAAGGGAAACAGCAGCCAGCCAAACAAAGACCATGCAAAAACAGCACCAAAAAAAAATCCAAGTATAAAACAGACAACAATTGAAAAAAATAATAATAATAAAACAAAATCAGATGATGACAAGATTGTTTCGTCGGAATCGCACCGAGTCATCAGGAGGCTGAACCCTCGACAATCTGCGGAGTCTCCGTTTTTGATGGTTTGGGTCATGAACCCTTTGATCCTTGTTGAAGGCAGACTGCCCCTAAGCGGAACATAGCAGCGGACAACAACCCTGTGGAGCACCAGGCAACACAGTAGAGGCAACACGGCTGCACAACAAATACGGAAGGCATGGCCAGCAGATGAGCAGCACGGCAGCGGAGCAGCGAAGCACAAGGCAACACCAACAGCACGGCCACACCGCACAGCGAACACATCAACCTGCGAAGAACCACATGCGAGGCAAGCGGGACAGGCAGCAGGGCAGCGGCGGAGCGCAGATGAGGATGTCCACACATCCAACATGGCGCAAAGCAGCACATGACCTACTCACATCACGGGTTAACCCCACAGACTGTTGGTTCCCACCACCCACTGAGCCAGGGAGACACTCCGACGGGCATCCGTCATCACCTACAGCCCCCCTAAGAGTGCAGTTGG